CCGCCGCCCCCGGCTCTTCCGACTCCGGCAGGCGCCAGTCCGACTCCGAAGACGAACAAGCTCTCGACCTCTCCACTCTCAGGTACTCTACTCGTTCCTCGCCATTTCCTTTCTCTCTTCCATTTCTATTGAAATTTCCTGCTTAAGAATGCTTTGGATTTGAAATAGGTCAGATACCGTGAGGCTTATTGATCAGAATCAGAATATGGTTTGTTCTTTTGTATCCTTTCTCGTGTATTTCAACGCTTTTAATTTTTCTCGTTTAAGAAGCACGCGACGTTTAGAAGTTCTATTGTGTTCTTTGAGTTCTGAAGCTTCTAGTTCGGTTTGAAGCTAGCGGAGGGTACTGAAGCTGTTATGCTTTTGTAGGTTGGAGTAGTGTCAATTGATGACGCCATTCAAATGGCTGAAGACGTCGAACTCGACTTGGTATGGTGTCTTTTCCCTCAGATTGCTGCATCTATAATTAAATATTCCATCTATTTGTTAGCTACAGTGTCATGTTTTTTTCGTTTCCCTCCTTTTGTGTGTGCTTGTCTGAGGTCTGAAGTATAATCTTTAGCTGTCTATGTTCTGCCGTTGAATTTCAGCTCAATTAATATAATTTATCTGCAAAGGATGTGTTGTGTCATTTTGACTTCTTAAGGTAGCTATTGTTTATTTTCTTATGGTTACTTGTTTAGTTACACTATATTTTGTAGTTTGTACAAGATGAAAAGGAAAAAAAAAAATAGAAAGAGAAAGTGCTTACTATAATTTTACTCAGGACCTGATTAGATAAACTTTTTCTTAAGCACTTTCAAAAGAAAAAAAAAATTGAAATAAGTTTCTCTATTAAATAAAATTAACTTATATATACAAGTTAAAAAACATTTTTTGGTGAAACTAGTATGAACGAGGTTCTAGAATTAGCTTATGTAAAAATTAATTTTAACTTTTGAAAAAATTATTACATTTTTTCTTCTCCTATAAGTATTTATGAAAAAGTTTATAAAAATAGATCCTTAGACAAATATCACAAGTAAAAATGATTTGAAGCCATTTTATTAAGGTGTTGAAAACCTAGTTGCTTGAAGTCTGTTCACAGTGGATTCAGTGGACAGTCACCTGCATTGGAACGTGGGCCACTTGTGACTTAAGCGTGTGTTTGGATTCGCGTATTGAGTTATGTTTTCGAACAGAATCACGTCAATTTGATGAGAAGCAAGTAATATTTGCTTCTGATTTTCACGTTTTTTACGCGATTCAGATGCTGTTGACGCTGAACCAAACACACAGTAAATGTATAAACTTATTTTCTCTTTGTTTGTCAGGTAATATTATCTCCAGATGCAGATCCTCCTGTGGTTAGAATAATGAATTACAGGTATGAACTTTGTATGCCCTGAGGGAAAAAAAATTCTGCATTTTTAGTTTTTTTTTTTCGTACATTGTTTTTTTTTTTTTTTTAATATTTATTGTTTATGCTCAATAAACCTAGTGCTAAAATACTGATTGATTGATGGCTGTATAAAGTGGTCGTGTAAGGGTGTGACTGTATCTGTGTCAAATTGCATTTTTGGGTGTCCATTGATAAATTTATTAGTTAATGACTTGCCTGTACACATGTTCAACAATAATTGAACATTCAGTAATTTGAATTGGGTTGATAGACAAATAATAAAATTTGGTTCCCTCTATTTCTTGTCTCTGGCCTTGTGCAACAACTTTGTGTTCCAATTTTTATGAGTTGGGCGATAGTGGTGGCGAAGGTGGGAGTAACATTGCATTTAGTCGTCTATGAATAGATGCTGTGCTTCTATATTATTTTTGGGATGGGGGTGTTGTGAAGACATGATTGAGCAATAAGTAAAGGAGAATCAATGGGGAGATTAATTCGCATACATGATGGAGCATTTGACGTTTGCTTGACAAAATCAAATGAATCTGTGTGAAATTTCATACCTAGTTGTACGTCTGTTTGACATGATTGAGCACTGTATTTACTTTTGCTTTGAGAATTGTTGGACCTTGTAACTTGGTGATCGTTTTATTTTGTTCTTTACAGCAAATATAGATATGAACAACAAAAGAAGAAAAGAGGACAGCAGAAGAAAAGTGCTGGTAAGCATTAATATTTACTTCTAAATCTTTTACAAAACTCAGAACAAACAATAAATTACTCACTAAGTGGTCTTCTAAATGTAGCTAGTCGGATGGATTTGAAGGAGCTCAAAATGGGGTAATGTCCTAAGCTAGTTCTGGACTCTTGTTCTTTGGATTTCTTAATTATGGATAACATATTTGTTAATGTTTTTAATAAGTAAAGTGTTATAAATCTGAAGAAGTATATTTTTTTATTTCCGTTCTGTGCAATCTAGTTTGGCTCTGGTTATCTATGGGTTCTCCTGAAAGATATTATACGCATTTGTACAAGTTAATTATTTCATTTACTTTCAAGAAACTAGATGAACAACAACCACCACCTAGCCTTTTCCCACCAGGTGAAGTTGATTACATGGATCAAATGATGTCATAATATTCCATCTTATGTCTATGGACACAGTCTTCTAAATTCTTTTCAATGCTTTTTTACATACAAATTTTCTCAGTTTTCCCGTGTCTATTGATCAGGCTACCTTTCATCCAATCTACTCTCCTTATTGTGGATTCTACAAGTCTTCTACGCGTCCAAACTCCAAACCACTAAGGCGCTTCTTCTACAATAGAAGTTATTCCAACTTTTTCTCTTATATATTCATTCCTAATTTTATCTTGTCTAGTGTCTTTTATTTCTACTACATTGAGTTTATTCGCGTAGCTCTTTACCACCCAACATGTTCAATACAACATTGCAAGTCTTATAGTTGTGCGATAAAATCTTCCCTTAGGCTTTTATTGATATCTTTTTGTCACAAATGATACCAAAAGCACTCCTCCGTTTTCTCCATCCCACTTGAATCACAGTCTACATCTCCCTCTATTTCTCTGGTGTTTATATGATGGACCCTACATACATAAAACCACATGACTTGTGGTGAAGTATATTCTCCAAGATTTTCTTCCATGCTAGGGTTGTTATGTCTCTTGATAAACTCTGTCTTCCACTGAAGCAAAAGCCACGAGCTTCCTAAGCTCATGTTTACATGTTTAACTTTATTTCCTAGCTTCACTCTCCAACTAGAACTATATCATTGGTGAAAAAATGCAGCATGGCATTGACTCTTTCTAAATACTTAGTAAACACGTCCAAGAGTAAGGTTAAGAGATAAGGGTTCAACCTTTTGATGCAGCAGTTCTATGGTTATAGGGAAATTTGATGTGACCCTGTTATGTGTTATTACACTAGTTGTCATCCTTGATTGCTTTAGTATATATGTAATAATACAAACTCGTTTCTTCTATATGGACTTCCACAATACCTCTCTTAGGCTCGTAGCACTCCTTGCCAAATCAATGAAGGCCATATCGAGATCTTTTTGATTTCTTTGATCTCTCTCCATTAAATGTTGTAGCAAGTGTATTGCTTTCATCATGGTTGATTATCTAGGCACAAAATTAAAACGATTTAGTCATGCCAATCTCTTGTCTAGTTGCCATTCTCCACTTAATTACCCTTTTCCATAACTTCATAGTATGATTCATGAGCTATATAATCCACTTAATTACCCTTTAATTTGAGTTTTAGTAGTGCTCAGTTACTTCAACTAGAACAATCATGTGATTATGTTTTTTTTTTTTTTTACTAATTCTTTGTACTTTATTTTAACAGATACAACATAGATGAACATGATTATTCAGTACGTTTGAAAGCTGCACGGAAATTTTTGAAAGATGGTGACAAGGTTGCATGAATTATTGTTGTCATATTAAGCACGCATATGTTCACCTACGTATACTCTAATTGTTGAGATCAATTCCTGCAGGTTAAGGTCATAGTAAACCTTAAAGGTCGTGAAAATGAATTCAGGAATATGGCTATTGAGCTTATTACACGTTTTCAGAATGATGTTGGGGAGGTATGTGAAGTCACTTTGCTGTGTGTTATGATTATCATATTTCTTAGGCATTTAAAACCCGACTATTTTCCAACGAAAAAAGAAATTAAATAAAATAACACTGGCAATTTCTTGTGTGCTATACTCCCTTGCTTGTCACACTTTGACAATTCTTGGTGAATTCATTTCTTTAGTTATTTCAGAAATGCTAATTACCCGTTTGTTATTTCTATTATTGGATTTACTTTAGTGAATTCATTTCGTAGTCTTGTCATTGGAGACATTTCTTTATTACCCGTTTGAAATTTACATCCAAACCACACTTGGGTTATGTGCAGCTTGGAGTAGAGGAGGCTAAAAACTTCCGTGACAGGAACATCTTCATAATTTTGGTTCCAAACAAAGCTGCTGTGCAGAAAACTCAAGAACCACCAAAGAAAAAAGATAAATCAGCTGCAGCAGATGAAGTCTCCGCCAGTGTCCAAGCATAACCGAAAACCTCCACGCTAGTTTCTAATCATAGAACGGATTGCGAGTAACTTGTATTGGTCTGAGCTGTAATTTTTCCCCCCGAGTATTGTATATGATTGTATGATTCATGTGCAATAATAGCTTATAAGTTAACGAGAATTTTAATCATAGAGGCAGCCTTGGCTTTTTGAACACAAGTTGCTGAAGGGATACCACTAACCACTCTTCACAAGACTAATCTGTCTAATCATAAAAGAGCAAACCCACGTGGATAATATATGTTGATTTAATTCTTGAAGTTGACAGTAATATTCGTATACTTCTGTTTCAATCCAATGCATGCCAAGTTGGTGACTGGTCGAAGGGTCCATAGTCCATACCTTGTTGAAGACAAGAAGCACATGGTCCTAACAAACGCGCTTTGGAAGGAAGCCCGTCAATTCTCGGGTTGTATGCATGGTTAGGGCACACAATACCTCTCTAGCTAGGTGCTGCTTTACGTGTAGCTTGAGCTCAAACGCTACTTATTCTAACTCAAAGATGTAGAAGCTGCAACTTACGGACCTAACGATTTGAAGGTAGCTTAGTTTTTAAGTGCTTACGTTCGAAGAAAACTGCCATGTTGCATGCTTTTTTTACTTGCACATGTAAACAAAACGTAGTCCTGAAAGCAACACGTTATGTGTACCTTATTTTATTTTACAATTCTAACATTTTTTATTTTATGTAACCAAATTCAGTTTCAGTCTTACCATCTTTTTAATAATTTTAATTAATGAATTTAGCTCTTTTTGATGTGGCCTCATAACTTAATTGCGATCTAATATGTCTTTTAGTTATATTATGTCAGGAATTAGAGGTAGCATGTGAGTAACATATTTAAAATTTTCTGTCAAGCAGCGATATATACTAATTTTTAAAAAAATAGAAATTAGCATAAGTCAAGAAAGTGTTTGATTCTGAAAATATATCAATGGTAAATACTATTTGGAAGACACGGTTTTAAGTAATCCGAAGACAAGGTTTTAAGTAATCCGAGTAGGTGTTTGGAAGACAAGGTTTTAAGTATTTTATCTTTTTGGTGAACTACATCTCAAAAGAGACTAAAATTAGGAAAGAAACTTGGGCTAGATCAGCTTGTAAAGCAGATACAAGGTTTTAATTATTTCTTTGCTTCCTTTTGTGCTATCTTTAACTTGTTACCTAGCTGACTTCTGTTATTCAATTTTAGGGTAGTAGCTTAAATCCTTCAACTAATAAACCAAAAATTAATGCATTAATTTAATTCGTTGTATTAGTAGTTACAAATAAAACACCATCCTTTCACATCAGTTATGCGATCAAGATTTCGGGTGTATAATCAGCTCTCTGACACTTATTGCTCATTTGTTACGCTTGCATTGAATGGTTATGAACAACCAAAATAAAAAATAACACTCCACAAATCAATTTAAAAAAAAAATGGAAAATAATATATATAACTAGAAGATACTACCAACATCGGCTTATTTAAGTGGTATTGACTTGTGTCTTTTAACTAAGTTGTCTAGATTTTGAATATGAATGTGAAATAAACAATGTTAAAAGGATCCACCTTATTTACGCTTTTGGTCTTCAACAGAAATTAGTTATTATTACTAACATCCTTATTTAAAAGTTAAAGACTAATTGACATCTTGAAATTCATTTAAAGAATATACTACTTCAACACTTTTTATGTGTGTATTTGTTCTACGTTCCATCCAACTAAACGTCAATCCATCCCTCCTCTTACTTATACGCTTCTACTTTGAAAAGTGAAAAAATTCTGTTAAACGGTGTTGAAACAATAAAACAAACACATCTTATATTAGATGCATGAATTTGATATTTCTATTTAAATTGGATTATAACCTTTTAAACTTAAGAAATATTTTACATAGTATTTTTAACAATTTTATTTAATAAAATATCACAATAATTGACCCTCCTTTGATTTACATTAGAATTAAATTGTAAATTCATAATAAGTAAGTCTTATCAGTAATAGTTCAATGTATACTCAATTTCCTTAAATTAAATATGATGTTTGTGTCTCATAAATAAAAAAAATGTAATTGAAAAGAGAGACGACTAAAAAATAGTCAGCTAGATTTTTTTGACAGATTATTATTGTAAAAGAAATTGATAAATTTGCATTCAATAACATGATAATATATTTTTTTTCTCTTAAGACTACAGCATCATCTACTATACTTTAAATTTTCCTTTTCTTTTTGTCTCTCTATCGTACACAATAATATATAAATTTAACGTACAAATACAATTTCTCATTAAACAAAAAAAAATCACCGCTCGTTTTACAATGAAATAAAATTAAGTGAAAAGCAACGAATGCAGTGATATCAAGGTTCTTGAAAAAATAACGTGAAAAGAAAAAGCAAGGAAGCGCAAGATATACACCTCACCAACGTGTTGATGATTGCATGAAGGAGACGGCGGTGGTTGCTAAAAAAAAGAAGGAAGAAGCTTAACTTCAAGGCAATGGAGACCCTGCAACCAACGTGGACACATTAGGTGAAGATCGACACCAAAATCCTGCAAGCCTCAGTGTTCAGTTCCTTCATAAAGCATAAACTTGGTCTCAACCTTGTGTCACATAATATTGTCCCATTCACCAGTCACCACCAAGATGGAAGCCAGCGCTGGACTGGTCGCTGGTTCTCACAATCGCAACGAGCTCGTTGTCATTCATGGCCACGAAGAGGTAATAACCATGCAATGCATGCATGAATACTACTACACAAAATTCAGAAAAAAGGGTATTTAATTATTGTGACTGTTTTCATGAAAAGTTGATAGATACATGTTGTGTGGTTTTGATGCATGCAGCCCAAGCCTTTGAAGAACTTGGATGGACAGGTGTGTGAGATATGTGGCGATGACGTGGGACTCACGGTGGATGGAGACTTGTTTGTGGCCTGCAACGAGTGTGGTTTTCCGGCATGCCGGCCATGCTATGAGTATGAAAGAAGAGAAGGAAGACAAGTTTGTCCACAGTGCAAGACCAGATACAAGCGTCTCAAAGGTACAAATCTTTCAAAAGCAAGTTTCAAACCCTTGTTGTGTTTGGAAGAATTTATAACACAAATTTTTATGTAACTATTTGAGAGAACTTATGTTCATAAGCTGTTGATTTTTATAATTTTTTCTGCGAAATTTTATCTATAAATAATATTTTTGTAGATAATATATTTTTGCGAATTTTAAAATTTGCAAGAAATTTTCTTGCGGAATTTATAATTCAAAAGTAATTTTTAAAATAAATTATCATCTAAAAATATATATTAGATATTAAAAACATATTTATATCATAAATAAATTAAACTGGATTTTTATAAAATTTAACATATTTATTTTTATATTTTTAATAGTGTTAAAAAGATGGACATTTAAAATAAAATTTATAAAATTTAACATTGTAAATTATTCAATAATATATGATTTGATAACTAAAAAATTAAGTTATAAAATGATAATTATATTTATTTATATACTCTAACACATCTTACATACAAGATAAATTCATAAGTTTGTTTAAAGATAAATTTATATTCTAGTCACGCTTTTCAAATTATATAAAGAAAAAAAAATCGTGTACCTCATGTTAAAAGAAGTATATATAAAATTGTTCATAAAATATAAGTTCATTAAGATAATATACATAATACTTAAAAAAAACTTTTAAGTTTTAATAAAAAAAAATTGTCTTGTAGATTGTGACGGTTTACGGTAAACCGTCGCAATGCTGAAAAGTTTGCGATGGTTTATGACTAACTGTCGTAATGTTAAAAAAATTTGCGACAGTTTATGATTAATTGTCGCAATGTTAAACAAATTTTGCGACGGTTTACGATAAACCGTCGCAATGTTGAATAATTTTGCGACGATTTTGAAAAATTATCTTATGAAAGATCGCAATATCAAAGCGACGACGATTTCTATATAATCGTCACAATTTGTCCGTCGCAATTTATCATTTTCCTTGTACTATCAAGACAAACAAAATAAATATACTTTTATTGTTGATTGGCCTGTAAGACGTGGAAATTCATTTTTTTTCTTTGATAAATTATTATTTTTTCTTTCTCTCTGGCCATCCGTTAATTTTATTTTCTATGATAATATATGCATTAATTAAATGTAGATAAAAAGAAATCTTTAAAATAACAAAGCAGTGAGGATGGGAGGTGGCTAGGTTACTTTGGCCTATGAATCACTTGTCAATGTGATCTTATGAACGTACAAGAAACATTAGAAATGTAATACAGCGACATCAAAGAATACAACCACATTTAGATGGCCACTGTGATGCGCAATACTGCAAAACAAAGGAAAGATAACTTGGGAAAAATACTTTAGCTGAGGATCGAATTTCTTCTAGTGTGTGAAAGTGGACACTGGCCTTAGGCCATGTTTGAGTGCAGCTTCCCACACAAGATCGATTCTGTTGACATCTATGGCCCCAACTTCGTGATGAGACCAACCTTCAAGGCTGTGTACCACTCCTCCTGCATGGCACGCATGAACTACTCCCCTATCCATCGTGTACTGCATGTATATATTGTATAAGACAAATATTATGTAATTGCCGAATGATGATACAATTAATTAATTAAAGAAAATGAAAGAGACAGATATTGGTGAAGTTGATATATCACCTCACAACAGCCAAGGCCCTCCACGTCTTCTGGTAATCTCATGGCAGCTAGATCACCATAAGTGCAATCTCTTCTGATTGATAAAATGGGTGGGACAACAAATTGATGGAAATGGGTTCCACGTGGTGCCCAGTATTGCTCTCTTGGTGTGATCCACTTGCCAACAATCCAGCTCTGAATTAAGACAACCAAGCACGAGCCAAATTACTATAAAATTTATTGTACATTATAAATTCCCACTTAAATATGTCATAATTCAATTTCCAAACTTGTGTACCAAAAATAATAATCCAAAGTGTGACAATTGTGAATCATGACATAGTTGTACCTTGCAGTTTTGTGCTGCTTGGTATTTTGTCACTTGGACAAGATAGCTTTGATACTCAAGAGGGGCTTCCTTTTGAATCCTCTGAAATCTATCTGTTGAAAGAGTTAACATCTGCAAAATAGCTCTTAGCCCATTAGTAACTGTGATTAAATAAACCAAAGAATCATGACACTTCTGCATCTCGAGAATTAATCATCATTAGATCTAACTACAAATGATGTCAAGTGTCTTGGTCTTGCTTTCAAAGAAAGTACATGCTCTAGGAGAAATGAAAAAAAAAAAAAAAAATCCACCACTTTGAACCTATTAACTATATCAGTTTAACTTCATTCTTAGCCAATTAGTAACTGTTATTAAATAAACCAAAGAATCATGACACTTCTGCCCCTCTTTGTATTGTATACTAGCACCACCGTGACTACTCCCTAGTCCCAATGATTATCATTATTAATAATTTTTTAGGTTCTTGATATGGTATCAATAGGCACCACAATGATTAAACTTCCCTCGAGACTTCTAATAGCTATGCGACAATGTGCATAGCTTCTTAGCCAATAGCCATTAATATTTTAATTCGATTAAACTTTTAAGGCAAGAAAAGGTACGTAGGAAAAGAAACCAAAGTAGAATGCAACTATGCAAGGGAAACGGTGAAAAATGGGGACTGTGAGAAAAATTACCAGAACTTTGACTTTCTTTTGGCAAAGGTAGAGAGCAATTGCTCTTCCAAGCTTGGAAGTAGCTCCTGTTAGGAACACCTCTTTCACATCTTGAGGGATCTCATTGAGTATGACAGCTGCAGTTAACGTGTTCCCATGAACAACTCGAACCCTCAGGTTTGGGTGCTTGTCCACAAAAAGCTTTCCACCCCCGTTTAGAGATTCATTCTGCATTGAGTGAGAAGTAAGTTAGTTACTAGTAATTTCTGATAGTTAATACTTGGCTGAATGTATGATAAGATCATTGATCTAGCATGTACCTTGGTCTTCTAATGCATCATTAAATAATCTGTTGTTTTTATTATACAACGCACCGTGGACTAGGTAACGCTGTAGTTAATATCCCAGGAAAGCTAGAAACTAGCAAGTAGTTATGCCAAAGAAACTTAAAACCTGTGTTACTGTGGATTGAAATCCTATGAAATTCTTAATGTTATTTTCATTTCAGGTATATCCAGACTAAAAATGGGAGGCCATTGTAATTTTTTCGTAAATTACAATGTGACTCACCATTTCATTCTATGCAGTAATTATGATGTACTATATACTACCTAACAAGGCTTTCAAACCTTCACCAACTATGCTCAGATAAGGCCAGATTCAATTAATTAACCACGTTCGATCTATTATGCTACTCAAATTAAATAGCAAGAGAAAAAAAAGTGCAATGTGTCAGACCTTATTCAATGCAGCAAGGCTAATGACTTTAACCCCAATTTTATCAGCCCTGAGGATAGCTAGCTCAATTTGCTTATTGATTCCCTCAGTAGCAAATGGCAAGAAATACTGTAAAAATGTTGAAAAAGAAGAAAAATAAATCAATACTTATTAATTGTTATTCATTTCGGTAAAAACAATGGAAACAAATTATGACTGATGAATGCACCAAGGACCTACCTGAAAGCCACATCTAGGTACAACCCACATTTGGTGCAGTTTACCTCTGAGGTAGTAGAAACTAACTAAGAAGGTCTTGGACCAAACCCACATTGCTAGTAAAACTAGAAAAGCAACGGGCAAACATGGGACCAAGAAGAGCCTCGTTGTGTATGGCAATGAAGCAAAGGATCGCAGGACGAATTGAACATGAATAGAAGATGACACATCTACTATATGCGCTAGGAAAACAAAATGTGGGACCGTGTCACCGTTTCCTGCAATGATACAAATTTATGGTAGATATGGATGAATATCAACATTTCCACAAAAAATAAGAAAGATTAACTAATGGAAAATTTTTACATCAAATCAAACATGGAACAGCTTTTGTGAAGTGCTATCCGTGATGTTGAGTACCCATCAAGCATTGAAGTCAAAATGAAAACAAAAACAAAAAAAAATGGATGAAGTCATTAAATGATTAGATAGCTTACCGGAACCTGAACTTAATATTTTGTGTGATTGCCATGATTTTTGGTTGAGGGTATTGCCAAGTGCGTCAAAGAGAGGCATAAAGAGGCAGAAATTAGTATCCTTATCAGAATGGTGTAGGTTGTGATATCTGCATCATAGCATAGAAAGCGAGTGAATGGTACATACAACTGCACAAGAAATGAACGTGAATACGAGAAGCTTGGGAATCACATTTGAACACATAGCTGGACCACTATATAGAAAATTCATGTTCATTTCTTATGTCATTCTCTTAATAGTCTCCAACTTGTTGCCCAAAACTTGTAAAAGTTCAATTCTCGTGGACCACTTGTTTACTTGAGTTTCTCTCTTCACAAGAGAGAACCTCAGGTAACTTTGAAACCACGTGAGTTCTAGGCCAATGTTTCCATCCCTCCTCTCATAATGATATATACGTTTGTATGGAGGAGGGAGAGTCGGAGAGAGATAGAAGCATTTAGAATAATTTTTTAGGTAATCACTGATGTTGCTTGAAAGTTTTATTAAAATAGGAAGGATTTTCATGCAATTATATAAATCAAAGTTTCTCTAATTTAAATGAATTCGGAAGGAGTTTAAACATCGAAACAAAAGGAAGAAAATCATTTCCACAGGAAAAAGAATGTCAGTTATCCCCTCACTTTCTATCCAACTCATTTTTTCTTCAATTGTTTCTTTCTCTACCAACATTCAAATATGCCATAAAGAACCTAAAGTGCCACAGCTATTCAGGTACGGTTTTGCATTTAGTTCATGGTGTAAATACTTTTCACATGTCTTGCTAAAAATCTGACAGAAATCAATGCGAGCTTTCTCGTGTCAAGTCTGACAATTAAATATATGATGCCAGTAACTTGTATTTGAAACTTAAGGATGCAACATTTCTAAATTAACTTACGTTGGTGTGTATATCACATATCTAAGAAATGGGAATTTCTGGAACAACTGATGGGGAACAATTTCAACATTGCAGTGGCCCAAGCATCTGAGGAAATCAAAAATCAAAACATAAGCATACACCAAGCTTGCTGATCCATATCCCATCAAAGAAGCCCCAAGGATAGGGATTCCAATGACTAGCGTCAAAATAAGATGCTCCAAAAGTGTTGCATGTCCAGCTGTAGGAAAATAAGTCATATTTCAATCACCAATACAAGATCCAGAACAAGTAGTTTGAAATGAATATAACATATTTTGAAGTTTGAACAGAATAAACATCTTTGCAACTAGTCTTCCTTTAGAAACAACATAATATGAGAGGAGGCTTAAAATGAAGAAGGGTAAATATGATTGATTCTCACCAGTAAAAGACTCTGGTATGGGAGATGAATGATGAAGTGAATGATAATGGGTGAAAAGGTAATCTCCATGGAACTTCCTATGCACCCAATAATAAAGTGGCTCTGAGATTCCCACATGGAGAATCAGTGCAACAATAAGACCTTTTGCATTCCAGAGAGGAAGATACTGAAGAAAGGGAAACATATAGCAGGCCATGGAGGCTACTAGTGTTTGAAGAATCAAGAAATTGTCCCTGTTTGAAAAACCGATATTAGATCATCTCATACATGTATGTATGAAACCATTTTTATAAATTATTTTATCTAAAGTATTATTTGAATATTTCTAATACATGTAAAATTTAAAAGAAATATAAATATTTAAAATATTCAACAAAAGATTGTTTAGCTAGTAATAAAAATATATAAATACGTTTGAAACTTTTGATTTAAAATTTTCAAAAATTAGTTTAATTATTGAAAATATGATTAAAATATTTTCTACAATTATTTTTAATTAAAAAAACGTGGACATTATGTAAAATAAGATCGTTAAAACAAATCTTTAATTGGATAATTAATTAAATAGAAAATTAATTTGATTTGATATAAAACTTATAAACACGTGAAATGGAAAAAGCATGTAACTAGTCACATGAAAAATGCATATGAAAGTTCTTATATTTTAAAAGAAATGAATATTCAATTTTATATTATAGGATTGGATTACTGAAATTAAAGTTCTACTTGTATTTTGCGTTTTATTACATTCATGTAACATAGTAAGGACCTTTTAATATGAATTTATTTTTAAGTAAATAAATAATCAATATTTTAATGTAAAAAGAATTTAAACAAAGTCAAATACTTAAACTAATACATTACAATAATTTAAATTAAGTAAACTAATATAGTCCACTACTAGAAATTTTCTTATTATATACGACTTTTTATACGAATTTTACATAAAATTTTGCATGAAACATGATTTTTATAATTTTTTCTGCGAAATTTTATCTATAAATAATATTTTTGTAGATAATATATTTTTGCGAATTTTAAAATTTGCAAGAAATTTTCTTGCGGAATTTATAATTCAAAAGTAATTTTTGTGTAAATTTTTTTGCTAAATTTCTTACAAATTTTAAATTTACCAAGAAATTATGTTATAATTGTGAGTATCAAATCACCATTAATTCTTCAATTAGATTCTTCTACATTTTCAACTCATTTCTATAACTTTTTTAGATAACTTAATTATGAAAACAGTTTAACTATATTTCCTCTTTCAATTATAGAACAACTTATACGTTAATTAGTATTTACATAGTAAACACTTATTCAATAAGCATTTAATTAAGTTGTTTATTCAAACACAACCTTTGTCATGCGTTAATTTCCATGGATTTAGTTGTTACTGCATGCAGTTAGCTAATAGCAGTATTGTGTTTAGTTGGTTGGATTGAAATGGAAAAAATGAAAATGAGGGAACTGATAATTCATTGACTTCTGATTTTGCTAAGGGAGCCCGCGGGTTGAGGGAGATGATGATGAGGAAGACGTGGATGATATTGAACATGAATTCAACATTGAGGACCAAATGAACAAGCATAACCACTCTGCTGAGGCCATGCTGCATGGGAAGATGAGCTACGGAAGAGGTCCTGAAGATGATGAGAATGCTCAATTCCCAGCTGTTATTTCTGGCGGTCGCTCTCGCCCTGTAAGATTTGCAAAACATTACTTTATTATACTCTATGAGACTTCCTGCGTTCAATAGACTTATAATGAGTTTGCATGCATGCAGGTTAGTGGGGAGTTCCCAATAGCGTCTCATTATGGTGATCAGATGTTAGCTTCCTCATTGCATAATCGAGTGCACCCATATCCTGCGTCTGATCCTCGTAAGATTTAGTTTATAGCCTTAGCTCTTAGACATTGATGTACACTAGCAAAATGGATTATGCTGATGGCACTTAAGTACCACTTTAAAATGTTTTTAGTGTATGTTTATATACAAAACCTAAAATTGTTTTTGAGAGGTTCTTTACCGGAGAAAAACTCTTTATTTTTGGTATAAATGCTCACAAAAGTACTTTTAAGTTGTATCTTAACAGATTCTACTTCAACTTGGTGAAATTTATTTACAATATCTGGCATGCTGTATCAAAGCAGGAAATGGAAAGTGGGATGAAGTCAAAGAAGATAGAATGGATGACTGGAAGTTGCAACAAGGAAATTTGGGGCCTGAACCTGATGAAGATCCAGATGCAGCCATGTATGCTTACAGTATTAGTATTAGGAAGAACATTGATGCAGTTTCTGAGAATAAACTTTGATAGCTATGATGGGATGAAATTAACTGTTATATATGATGGAAATTGGTGCAGGTTAGATGAAGCTAGGCAGCCACTGTCGAGGAAGGTACCAATAGCATCCAACAAAGTGAATCCTTATAGGATGGTGATTGTGGCACGGCTTGTTATCCTCGCCTTCTTCCTCCGTTATAGAATTATGAATCCTGTACACGATGCACTGGGGCTGTGGCTAACTTCTATTATATGTGAAATCTGGTTTGCTTTTTCATGGATCCTTGATCAGTTTCCCAAATGGTTTCCCATTGATCGAGAGACCTACCTTGATCGTCTTTCATTAAGGTAAAATGCACTTTCCCACTTACTATAGTATCATACTGCTGCTAACTTCAAATCCCAAAACGTTTCAACTCACATTGCTGACCAAAATGTTGTCTATTAGGTATGAGCGTGAAGGTGAACCCAACATGCTTGCTCCTGTGGATGTCTTTGTTAGTACTGTGGATCCCATGAAGGAACCTCCTTTGGTTACAGCAAACACTGTTCTTTCAATCTTAGCCATGGATTACCCGGTTGATAAGATATCGTGTTACATTTCTGATGATGGTGCTTCAATGTGTACATTTGAAGCCCTGTCAGAAACTGCAGAGTTTTCCAGGAAGTGGGTACCATTCTGCAAGAAATTTTCTATAGAACCTCGGGCACCAGAGATGTACTTCTGTGAGAAAATTGACTATCTCAAGGACAAGGTGCAGCCCACCTTTGTTAAGGAGCGCCGAGCTATGAAGGTTTGTAATTTGTATCATTTCTATCAGAGTAGTACTTGAAAAAGGAGTTTAGAAGTCAGTTTAAAGCTTATTCACTGTTATTTGGGTGTTTGACAGAGAGAATATGAAGAGTTTAAGGTTAGGATCAATGCAATTGTGGCAAAAGCTCAGAAGGTTCCTCCAGGAGGGTGGATTATGCAGGATGGAACACCATGGCCAGGAAACAATACCAAGGATCATCCTGGTATGATTCAAGTTTTTCTTGGTCACAGTGGAGGTCATGATACTGAAGGAAACGAGCTTCCTCGTCTTGTTTATGTTTCCCGAGAGAAAAGGCCTGGATTCCAACACCATAAGAAAGCTGGAGCCATGAATGCTTTGGTAGAGTGTTTTGAGCAGTAATTGTTGTTCTTATGATTACCTTTATGACTCACAAATACTTGACTCTTCCAACTTTTGCTGTAATTTACAGATTCGGGTCTCTGCTGTGCTTACAAATGCACCTTTCATGCTGAACTTGGATTGTGATCATTATGTAAATAACAGCAAGGCTGCTCGAGAGGCCATGTGCTTCTTAATGGACCCCCAAACTGGGAAGAAGGTCTGCTATGTCCAGTTTCCTCAAAGATTTGATGGCATTGATAGGCATGATCGTTATGCCAATAGGAACACAGTTTTCTTTGATGTAAGTCCTGCAAGAAACACAGCATCAGCATAGCATGGCCAAATTTTTGAAGCATTAGATTTTTCACTTTTTATGTTAGTAGTTCAAGCTAAGGTTTACTATTTCCTCTTCTTTTTGTCTCTGCAGATTAACATGAAGGGTCTAGATGGTATTCAGGGTCCTGCATATGTTGGCACAGGGTGTGTATTTAGGAGGCAAGCTTTATATGGCTATAATCCTCCCAAGAAGGCCAAGCGTCCAAAAATGATAAGCTGTGACTGCTGCCCATGTTTTGGAAAGCGCAAGAAGGTCAAGTATGAAGGGAATGATAGAAATGGAGAGGCAGCAAGTCTAAGAGGTTTTCATATTCCTAACCACTGATATTGACAGTAACTTCAATCCAAATATATTTCACTTTAACCTTTTCTAAGTTCTAACCCATGTTACATGTCAATAGGAATGGATGATGACAAAGAGGTGCTGATGTCCCAGATGAATTTTGAGAAGAAATTTGGGCAGTCATCTATTTTTGTGACTTCAACCTTGATGGAAGAGGGTGGTGTGCCTCCTTCCTCAAGTCCAGCAAGCCAGCTTAAAGAAGCCATTCATGTAATCAGCTGCGGATACGAAGATAAAACTGAATGGGGAATTGAGGTAACTCCGACAACAAAAGCCTAGAGATTCCTTGATATCTTACCATATTTTGTTCACACTATGAAAATCATCTCATCCATGCCATTTTGCTTTCCAAATATGCAGCTAGGATGGATTTATGGGTCTATCACAGAGGATATTCTAACAGGTTTTAAGATGCATTGCCGTGGTTGGAGGTCCATTTATTGCATGCCAAAGAGAGCCGCATTCAAGGGTACTGCTCCTATTAACTTGTCAGATAGGCTTAACCAGGTGCTTCGTTGGGCACTTGGTTCCATTGAGATTTTCTTCAGTCGCCATTGCCCTTTATGGTATGGCTATAAGGAAGGGAAGCTGAAGTGGCTTGAGCGATTTGCCTATGCAAACACAACAGTCTACCCTTTCACCTCCATACCTCTAGTTGCCTACTGTATTCTTCCTGCTGTCTGTTTACTCACAGATAAATTCATCATGCCACCGGTAACAACATTATTCTATTCCCTTCATGTTACTAAACGAGTTAGACAGACATGACATGCTTTTGAAATTATAACATGCCAAATTTCCATAATGTTGCCTTCAAAAGCAGATGATATGAATTTTATGATTTTCTTATGTAGTAGGATTTAGAGTCATAATTATTTATAGAATGGATGCCAAGCTTCTTTGCTTATAAAAATATTTTTTGATTGCTGATGATCCAGATAAGCACTTTTGCTGGTTTGTACTTCGTTGCTCTCTTCTCTTCAATCATTGCAACCGGCCTTCTTGAATTGAAATGGAGTGGAGTGAGCATTGAGGAATGGTGGAGAAATGAGCAATTCTGGGTCATTGGTGGTGTGTCAGCACACCTCTTTGCTGTCATACAAGGGATTCTGAAGGTTCTGGCAGGAATTGACACCAACTTCACTGTAACATCCAAGGCAGCAGATGATGAAGAATTTGGAGAATTATACACCTTCAAGTGGACTACTCTCCTAATTCCTCCAACCACTATCTTAATAATCAACATTGTTGGGGTTGTTGCTGGAATCTCAGATGCCATAAACAATGGGTACCAATCCTGGGGACCTCTATTTGGAAAACTATTCTTTTCATTTTGGGTGATTGTTCATCTGTATCCATTCCTTAAAGGTTTGATGGGCCGCCAAAACCGCACACCCACCATAGTTGTTATATGGTCAGTACTATTGGCTTCCATTTTCTCTTTGCTTTGGGTAAGAATTGATCCATTTGTATTAAAAACTAAGGGACCTGATACCAAGCTGTGTGGAATCAACTGCTGAAAGTTTGGTTTTCCAATAGAATCCTTTTATGAACATCTTTTGAAGATGTATGTAAATTCTTGATTGTGCTGTATGATGCGTGAACTTACAAAGCTTAGATGTACAAGGATGAAAAAAAAGTGAAAAATGGGAAATGCAAATGCAGTTTTCTCATCTTCGTAAATGTACTGGACGACATAATGGTCACCGATTGTTTTGGGGCTCAAATTGCCCAAGGATTGGAAAGTAAATCAAAGTTATAGGTTTTACCTTTACATTGTTGCAAGATAGCATATGTTAATGTTCTATATCACAGGCATCTAGCTCATTATGTCTAATCCAAAAGCATGCATAAAGAGTTTATAATTTGACATGCTGAACGATGATTTATAAGCTAATATAAATCATTTATGGTCTTTCAAGTTAAAAAAAATGGGCTTTTTAAAGTTACCCTCTTTTGCTTAATTGTTTTTTGAGTTTTGGAATTTGAAAAGTTGAGAATCTTTGAATCAGGAAGCAACGCCATTCTCTTCTTGCTACAAGTAAAGAAACAAGATAAAGAGAGAAAAATGTAAATCCTTATTTGGTTGGCAAGTGGGAAAATAATAGTAATATATCGTTATCCCTTATAAGTATTAATGGGGAAGGAGAAGATAAATAAAATCTCTTAGATAATTTTGTCAACATTCTCCAAAAACTATAAATTACTTCCCCTCCTTCAACTCCCCCGCTTTCACCCAAAAAAGAACTCCCCCCTCCCCTCCTTCCTCTCCCCTTCCTCCATTTTCCCTTGAATCAAACACACGTGTAAGATCGAGATTAGTTCAATATTTTACTTCACATTTATTCAACCAACACTTTAAATAGCACATTCAGCAATTAGATTGACTGCAACCAAGAGAAGATACTTAGTAAATCACTGCAAATATGAAAAGAAAAGAAAAATACTGATAGAACTTGACGATCAGATAGGAGAGACATGGTAACTTTCAAACGTACAGCTCTAATTTAAATTTGAAAACGATTAATTACAAGCTTTGTTATAAAATTAGGCAAAGGAGAATGTCACCTTTTGCATGGACAAAAGAATGTAATCAAGGAGGCTACTTGATTTAAATTAACTGGTTAGTATGATGTTGAAGTGAAGGACATTAGACAAACTCACAAGCATAATAAAGCTTACGTAAAGAATGATAGAATTCAGATACAATTTGGTTTAACTTTAGAAAGTTGTATTTAACTTGTGCTACTAAATGTTTCGCTTCTCAAGTGTATACCACAAGAGGGTCCAGACTCAGATCATATTGTTGAAAGGTAAAGAATATGAAACCAAAAGGTTGGGCAATGCATCTGTCCTATAACTTAACTGGTGAACAATTATTGATTCAGCTTCACCAATAATCGCCACAAGAACAGATCCCATCTTTGAAATGGTGGAATCTGTTAGCGTCCCTAACTACAATTACTCTTTCTGTGATCTTTGAAATAAACTTAGTTGCGGTGTGACAATCTAAACAAACCCGAAGGTTCTTGATGATCCTAATCTCAGCACCAGGTTCAGTTGTAATAAGGCCAAAAGCAATGGCTAACTTCTCACTATGAACATTAAACATGAGCTCCTTTTCTTCTTCTTCCACATCATGCAAAGCAGTGACCGTCTCTGACTGATACCCCATCTCCCTCATCTTGCCTGTTAACTTCTCCAGCTTTGCATAGATAGCTTCTGTTTGAGAATGAGAACGATCACCAGATACAAAGATGTGTGGAGACCCATTAATCTCAATTAGAGTGCACCCTGGAGTCTTTGAGAGTTTTCTTTTCTTCACTACTTCCCGTACTGAAGCAGCCTTCGGGAAGTTTCTATCTACAGAGTATATATTAGAAAGCAAGACATAGTATCCTACGCTCCCTGGATCCAGTTCAAATAGCTTTTCTGAAGCCACACGGGCTATGTTTGTGTCTTTGTGTATCATGCAAGCACCAAGCAATGTACCCCACACTGCAGGACCTGGCTCAACAGGCATTCTCCTTATAAATTCTAAGGCTCTTTCTAACTGTCCAGCTCTTCCAAGAATGTCCACCATGCATGCATAGTGCTCAGCTAAGGGCTCAATCCTGTATTTATTGACCATAGCATGGAAAATTTCATCTCCTTCTCTCACCATGCCAGCATGACTGCAAGCATATAAGACTGAAAGAAAAGTAACACTAGATGGTTGAAACTCTAAACGCAACATCTCATTGAAAAGCTCAAGTGCGTCATGCCCATATCCATGGAGTCCATAACCAAAAATCATAGTATTCCAAGTTACAGTATTCTTTTCACTCATCGACTCAAATAATTGCCAAGCCTCTGAAATATTCCCACACTTGGCATACATGTCAATCAGAGCAGTAGAGACATAGATATTTGTCTCAAGATTTTTGCTTCTAATCAACTGATGAACCCCTTTACCAAAACTCAGCGCTCCTAGTTGAGCACAAGCTGAAAGAATACTCGTGATAGTAACTGGATTCGGCATAAAATCAGTCGCCATCATTTCCTGAAAAAGAGTGATAGCCGTTTCCGTTAAACCATTCTGTGTATAACCTGAAATCATAGCATTCCAAGCAGCTACAGTTTTCCCCGACGATTCATCAAATAACTGTCGTGCCAAATCTATTTCATTGAGCCTGCTGTAAATTGTGGTGAGCGCAGTTGAAACGGCGGGATGCAAAATGGTACCAGACTTCACACAAAACCCCTGAATGCAGCAAGCCAAATGCAAATGCCCAAAAGGAGAAGACACTGGAATCAACCCAACCATTGTGCTAGAACTCACTCTCCCCACAGAAACAAGCAGCTCCCTAAAAAGCTTCACTGAACACTCAGTCTCACCATTACAACTAAACCCAGAAATCATGGCATTGTAAGAAACCAAATCCGGCTTACTAATCATCCCAAACAACAATCTCGCCGTGTCGACATCCCCACATTTTGAAAACACAGAAATCAAGCCCGTCAGCACGTAGTCATCAAAATGAAATCCAAGTTTCAAAGCCAAACACTGAATTCCCGTCCCAACTTTCACCTCTTGCATCTCCGCAACCGCGGGAAGCACCGTCGCCACCGTGGTGGAATCCAACCGCACCCCTTGCGCAACCATGTCACGAAACACTCGAAAAGTATCATCATAACAACAGTTCCTCACCAGCCCCGTAATCATGGTGTTCCACGACACGGTGTCCCTCTCGGGCATTTTATCAAACACCTTCCTGGCATACGCGACGCGCGAAAACTTGCAGTACACGTCAACGAGGTTGGAGGCGACGAAGAGGTTGGAGGCGAAGCCGTCGACGACGGCATGCGCGTGCAAACACATGCCGAGGTTGTCGTCGGGGGAAGCGGCGATGGCGAAGGCATAGGTGAAGTTGTCGGGGGAGAGTGTGGTGTTTTTGCGGAGATGGGTGTAGAAAGAAATGGAGGAGGCGTTGGGGGAGAAGCCTTTGATGAGGACGTTGAAGAGGAAGATGTCGGGTTTCGGAACGGAGAAGAAGAGGGCACGTGCGTGGCGCGTGGCGCCGACGTCGAATAGCTTCTGTGTGAGCTTGGTCACGGTGGCGAGGTCGTGGTGGTAACCGTTGCGGATGAGCTGCGCGTGGGTTTCGGCAAGGTGAGGGAGTGTGCATGCTTTGCTGATGAGGGCGAGGAGCGTGTTGCGGCTAATGTCCCCACGAATCATCTGCACCTTAGTTAGGTGTTGAGTTCAGATACTTTATAGTTTATGATACATGCGGATTTTTCCCCCTTGGATCAAGGATATTCTGTGATATCGCTATTTTCGGATACCTAACAATTTTACTGGACTTTGTTAGTTATTGGGGTTATCTTCTTATGCATGAAAATTTTACTTCATTAAAAGTTACTTTATAATGGTAATTACAGGAGTAATTTCTATAATCATTCTGTGTGTTCCCATAATTAAAAGCCATTTTCTGCTTACAACCTCTCTGTCGTACTTGTCAGATGAATGCAAAATGTAAATCTAGAAGGAATACTTTGCTCCTTTACTTTGCATTTTCTTTTCATTTGCCTGATACAAAAAATTACAAGTGGAAGGCTTGGGCCACCAGTGTTGACTAGAATGAAGATAAAGGAACAATATAAATTGCAACAGAGGGAGAAGCCTATTACAAAAATTTACAACGCGTAAAGAATCTCGGGTGTTAATTCAATGAAGTTTCAGCCGTACATACCCAAGAATCTTTGAAACATATTAAATACATTGGTAACGTCTTGGAAATTATGATTCCCAAGAATTTGGCTGCAGCCGCAAGAGATTTATTTCTTGTTAGCTTAGAAGCAGGTCAGGGTCAGGCGTGTTTGAATCTCCGAGAATTATTTACCACCAAAGCTTGCTTGATCTGCATGTGATGCGTCCGAAGGCTATATTCCTCATCCTGTGTAAGCCAAAATAATAATGAAAATTAGAAAATGATACAAGGAATAATAAGGGATAAAGCTCAAAAATAGGAAAACTCTATGACCGCAATTTTCACTGTCCTAGTGCTGCTGACACCATCATCCGCTAGATCAGGAAATAAATAGACCAAAGAAGAAGGTCCCAGCATATTAAAAGCAGTGACTAAGTAGGAGAATTGAACTGATAAATTACCATCAACCCAGGTTCTTGTAGATCTAGAGTACTAGTATGGTTCTCTAATCACTTATGGCTCTTAACGTTGAATGGTCATGAATGATAAAATAAAAATCAAAATGTAAAATGTGATAAATGGAAATGGAATTTATGTCCTACTATTTTATGCTCGTTCTCGACATGATTAATCGAGTGATTTGTTGTGCACAACTCAAGTTATTAAGCCATATATCATGGCTCTTACCTGCATAGCTGTTGCAAAATTCAGTAATGATTCACATTCAGCAAGCATGGCTTTTTCCTGTGCTGATACAACAGCAACTTCAGAAATTAAATTATTCATTCCCTCCACCTATCCAGATACAAAAAATAACATGGTGTCAACCTTAATGCATTACGGCTTTGCATTGAATCTAAAAGGAAATCACAAGTAAGAAAAAAATAAAATCAGTAGAAGGAAGAAAGTTTGATACTAAATTGTTGGCCTAGAAAATAGCAGGGTGTACAAATGCTAGGTGATAAAGAAGTCAAACCAGCATAATTCCTAAACAATTAACTCACCCGTGAGAGCAAAGGGCAGATAGAAGATCCCATTGCTTGCATGGCATCAACAGCTGAAGAGATAGCAAGCTTCAAATGTTCAATATCTGCCTGTATAAGTAAACATAATAATGATGCTAGTTCTCATTGCACACATCAAATCAAAAGACACAACAACCATACACATACCTTTGCCCCTCCAATTAGCGGAAGACGAATAGTACTTGCCTCTAAGTCTTCTACAGCCCCGGATAAGGCATCAGTATGATCACTTTCAAGTATAGTCCAGTCATTAAGGTAGGCCATCTGTCTCATTAATTGTAAAAGGACCACAATTAAAAAATGTATCACTAAGTATCAAAATTGTTGAAAGTTGAAACATTTAGATAAGAATATAGCATCACATATATAGGAATTGAAATTACAACCTCAACTTAATATAAGAATTCACACGATATCACTATATTCCTTAACAAAGTGTTTTTTAAGGTGCAATATAGATCAAAATGGAAACAATATCCAAATACTAGATCAGATGTTCTATGCACACCAACATGCCCATTCCAACTTGAACAAGCAGAGTCTCAAGCTTTTTTATTATACTCAATTTTAATAATTTATATCAACCATTAATATGAATTATGAATAACCTCTTATGACAGACTAGCATAAACAATTAAACATAAATTTTCAATGTAGTGTCGGGTCAACATCCTGCTGAGTATATTTGCTTCATTTATAAACTTCACAACAACTATCTCAAGATAAATTACCAAAAATGAAAATTGAAAAAAGATAATAATAATTATAATGTATCATCAACAATAATAAAGGGCACATAAAATTATTATGATTTCAGGCAAGAGAGAAGGAAGTATTACTTGAGCATTCAAAATAGAATTCAGCTTCAGCTCAAGCTGCAGCTGCTGGAGATGGATCCTCTTCCTAATAATTGATTCCCATATAGACAAAGTTGTGTTCCATACATTATAGAGAGTTTTCTGCACCATTGAACAAGTGCTTATAAAATGATGTACACAAACTATTTGCTACACACAAGCTTCTGTATAGCAGAATACAAAGAGTTTGCCAGCTTGTCAAAGATACAGCAATTAGCAAGTCATACCTCTGCAGTTGCATTTTGGATGTAAAATACATCATCTGCTCTCGCATTGACAAATCTCCATTGCAAGTACCTGTTGTATAGAAGTCGTAATTGGTGAGCATCTTCAATGAGGGCTACACCCTTTTTCCCTTTTTTAAAATCAGCGATAAAGCTGAGCACTGAAATTGCATCGTTGGATTGGTTGGTTGAATTGGTTGACCTTATTCGAGATGGACTAATCCCTCTAGGAGGAGTTGATGGCCTTGACCGAGATGGACTACCACCTCTTAAACTACAAGAGGATAGGACTGAGGTCTTACTAGGTGATGGACGCCGTGATCCCGGACTCAAAAATGACTGAGATCTGACTCCAGCAACTGCTAATCCCGTTTTATCCAATGGAGTTGCAGACACAAATTTGTGAGGTCTTAATATTTGAAAACTGTCATCTACCGGTTTCACCTCGCTTTCTATTCTACCACTTTCAACAAGCAACATTAGCCTTGCAGTATCACTAGAAGCTTTTTGCAAGGGCTTACTCGGTTCACCTGGCAAAGACAATCTTCGCAGGGAAGACACACTACTAGTTCCCGGAGCAGAAGAGTTCAACGTTCTGGTTGTCTTGTCAGCATGAACAATACTTCTATTTGACGCACTTGAACATACCTTCCCACCTATTCTGCTTGGCCACCGATGCTGATCTATCAATCGAGAATGCAAACCATCAACCGGTTTCGAATTCTCAGTCTGATCAGAGGCATTTTTCCCTTTGAGAGGACTCCTCTTTCTCTCTGGCGTAGGCTTTCTTATATTTGGCGTTTCAACCTGCTTGTGAGCCACGTTTGAAGTGGGCCGCAGCGTACGATCAGAGGCACTAGTCACCGGCTTCTCCTTCTTGCTAACAGGTATGGAAATAGTGTCTGACTGAAAAGAAACGCTCAAACTTCGCATTGTGGAAGGCCACAGTGCCTCTGGCATTCTGCTACCAGTCACTCTTCTTGATGATAAATGCACATCTACTGATGAGTCTTGAACTGGTGTAGAAGGACTTTGAGGGGAAGGCGGAGTCGCAGGCCTCTTCCTCTCTGCTGATTGAGCTCTTTTGGGTAACAATTTGGATGGTGGAGGTGTTGTTGTCCTTGTGAGGCTTGGAGAGGGGCATCGGCGAGGACCAGATGGGGTTGCCGGAGTAGGCGAAGGTGACCTATACCGTGAACTAATTCCCCTTGTTGCCGTGCGGCTGCTGGGGGTTTCATTGTTTTTTTTAGCAGGAACCAAGGGTTGTCTTGTTCTTGCTCTGTATTTCCTTAATGCTTGCTCTGACTCACATACATCCATCCACTCTATAGTCTATCCCAATTAGACCACATTGATGGAAGTTTTCATAAAGCTAATCAAACTTAGCAGCTTTGGCTGTTTGGCAATCATGTGTTATGTGCATTCAATGGAATAAATGAACAGCACAGATTATCCAGAAAGAAGATCCTTTTCTGTGCAATAAATCTGCCACAAATGAACATAAAGTAAGATACTACAGACTGGGAAACTAAAGAAAAGCAAGGAATAAACCCCCCATCAAAAAAGTAAAAGGAAGAATAAGAAAAGCGCACATCTTTACAGAGACTCAGATCTGCTGAAGAAGGAATTAGAGAATCACAGGCAATTAACGCAAGTGGGTGTGTTTTATTCACACAAAAAGGCCCGAATCTAACAAGATCAGGACACAGCAAGAAGAATATGGAGAGGGAAAACAACATTTGGTGTAACGGGTGAGAGAAACTTGCGGAAACTGTCTCAATGTACATTTAACGTTTTATCATGAAACGTTGTTGGTTATGGTTAACTGAAGAAAAAAGATTGAATTGCCGGGGACGGGGTCCCCTCGGAAATTGGGTATACTGGGAAGTGGAATCAATGGAATAATAGAGAGAGGGCGCAGGATAAGAGAGAGGAGTGCGTAGGCTAAGAGAAGAGAGGCTTTAATTTTTTCCCCTTTTGTCTCTCTCACGGGAATGCCATGGTCGGGTGGGCTGGCAATGGGTTCACTCCACACAAACCCACTCTGTCTTATAACTCCTTCTCTCTCAACTCCTTTTCATGAAAGGGAATTCAATGAAAGTGATGCCATAACTTGCATGGACAAAATGAAAAAGAAAGTATCTGATCTCTCTTAAACTTGCAATACTCGTCTAAAAACACACACACATACACACCAATAGTCCGATACCAAGTTAAACTTAATTGAAGCTCTAATTACCATACCATATACTAACATAACATGAGTTTCATTTCTTAAAATTTGCAGAAAATATTTCCAATTAAGCCTCCTGTAAATTACGTACGCAAAACATTATATATATATATATATATA